ACCTCTAATCATTTTAATTCTTTATATATTGATATTTTATATAATTGCCATCATCTTTCCACCATGTATGAATGCATTTGATTATACATTACCTGTTTGTAATGATTCTCCATGTTATTTGGATGATTTTATTCTTGGTATATGGGATTCTATTGTGAATAGTATTTTACCAACATTTATCATATGTATTTCTAGCATCACTATCATTATTCGTGTTAATTATCAAAAACGACGTGTTGTTCGTCGACGTAATCAATGGCGTCGACAACGTAAAATGGCAATTCAATTAATTTCTAGTTCTCTTCTATATCTTATTCCTAATATTCCATTGAGTCTTTTGATTTTGGCTCATCTTTGTGGTCTACCAGAGAGCGTAGGAGTTGAAGTTCAACTGTACTTCGATTTTTTATGTTATTTTGTAATACTTCTGTATCCTGTCGTATGTCTTGGTTTTTTATCTAAGCTACGAAAGAAAATGCGATGGAGAAGATTTTTTTCGTTACAAAGACCACAACAAAATGCTGTTGTCAGACCTCAATAAACTCATGAACAATATTATGTAAATGTATCACATTTGCTTTTAATGTTGTTTCTTGTTTAATTACTAAGAAAAAATAATGTATCCTATATTTAGTGTTGTTTTCATTCGCTAGAAAAGACTGAATAAACTGCATTGATTTCTGACTATGAAATAGTCAGGATAATCGAATCTGTAACATTGATACAAATACATTCGAAGCTGAGTCATGGTTTGATCATAAAATAAATTCCGAACTCAGTATTCAGATATGCTCATAGCTAGCAGGATCATTTGTCTGTGGAAAAAAACATATTAACGGAATTTCTGTAGGACTGAAATATGAAATATGATGTGTTTGCTATTACTTGTGATAAGGAGATTGCTATATTCTATCGATTTAAGGATACATTTCTAGATCATTCTTTTGCTTAATCTTTTAGAAATGCATTATGGAAATAGTTGATTTATTATAATAAGACACTACCGATATACATTCTGTGACTATACATATCAATCATTTCTGTCACGATCTGTAATGTTTTTATCTTTATGTCTGTCGCCTCTGTGGTTAGCTGCTCCTCAGATGTCTATCATATAGGTGATGACTTGTGGCTAAATTATATGTCACGTCTGTGGGGGGAAGTTTCCAAGGTTCTACTCGTATTTTTAAACAATCCTTTTAAACCATGATCCAGAAAATAGTGTACTCTTCAAGTGCGATGCATCATTTTTTTGTATAAACAAACAACCTATTTATGTAAATCTATGACACACAGCAGATAAATCAATTTTTTTCGCTGTATAATCCAGCAAATCTTTGACTGCATTGATTATTGTGAAAATGACAGATGGAATGCATCTAATTGATTCTAATAAAGTTTATTTAATATATTTTTACTTGAAAAAAAGAATTAATTGATTACGAGAACAAGAAAAGTGAGTCAAACTGACAAGTAACTGAAAGATTTATGAAGAAAGATGAAACATTTTCAGAGCCGCAATTAATGATCATTCCACTCTCCAAAAAACAAAAAATGAAAAAAGAGATCCCATTAAAATATTTCCAGTATTTTTCAGTTTCAAAATCATTAGGAGTCATATCAAAAGTGCTGTTTTCATATGAGTTATAAAGAAATTCATAGCTAATGTTCAATGAGAAAAATCATTAGCTTGACATGATCATTTTGATTTAGAGTTTCATTTTATCTAGATGAATAGTAGACAAAATGCAAAATGACATCTAATTATGCAGTAAGGAAGGTTTTCTTTATACTACGGTATGTAGCAACCTATTTTTTATTATAATGAACTTGGTTTCAATAAGAAACATATCATTTCTAATTCATGTTAGTTTATTGTTATGCTGATTGACATCGATATAGCTATATTTAAAAGTGTTAATGATTGCTAGAGAGACACTTCACTATAGAAGTTAAGTCATATCTCTGAGGATTTATTTTCGAATTAACCTGAGTAATCAACTTAGAAAAACACTTGACTCTCTTTTGTACAGCATTTACATGTATATCTGCATGCCATTGACAAAATATGAAAAAGAAGGAAAATAACTTGAATAAGCCTGTATTACTTGAAACTAAGTCCCTTCCGCTGAAAAAAATCGATTTTTCTCACAATCATTGAAATTAAAATAAATTCATGAGGTGATAACCTGATGGCTGATTTCTTATAAATACCATGATTTTTATTTAGGACCTCTTGTTTAGGAAAAGTTTTTGATGAATTCTGATATCAGCTGCTTGAAAAATGTGAAATATTCAGCAAAAGCAAGATTTTTTTTCCTTTTTCTCTGCGCATATTTTTTGATCGTGCGTCTTAGAGTTCTTGAAGAAGCTTCATTGTACCCAATTGCTCTTGTTGTTGCTTGAAAGAGCATGCTGAAATGTAGAGCATCGCTGAATTTCTTCTTTAAGTCGAGATTCGTTTCTATTATACAGTAGAGTATTTTTGGAATTAATATGCATTTTTTTCAGTACTTTTTTGAAAGACCGAACTTTTTTCCTCGTAAAAAGTGAGAATTTGAGAAAAAAGCTCTGTAAGACTCTACATCTGCACATATATTTTAAAACAAAAACAAAATAACTATATATAATAAAGGTCCTTAAAGAATTTTCGGTTACGAGATGAACCATTTTTAGCCCTTATTTATTGAACATCTTCTTTGAATGTTACAGTATAGGATCAAAAATTCTACCGTAGCTTCTTCACCACAGCTTCAGCACACTATAGGAATTTTATGAGGTTTATATATACCAGACCCAATACCGATTCTTTAAGGGACCTGAGCAAGTCTATTATGATTTCAGAGAAAATAAGCAGTTGTTTAGGAAACAATGCAATGAATCTATGTATTTTGATATCAGATGAAATGTTTTATGGAGAATTTCTGAGTGATTAATAGGTCTTCGAAATTCAGCTTTACATCAAGCTGGGTGCATAATTCGCTTTACTTAAGTCGAATGCTTGTGAATAATTTTTATTATTTTGTCATTTTTGAATATTGTATTTACTTGTAATTGTATCTTAAATTAATCATCAACCATGAATAAAATGCAAGCCAAACGGCATGTTATCTGCATATTTATTGTCTTTAATTTAGTTTACTAGAGAAAGAAGCGATAAAAGTTCTGTTTTATGTCCTGCAACGTTAGTAATTTCTTCTTTTTGAAAAAAGATGAGTTTCACAATTCGTCTCGCTCTCTAAAGATCATGTGCATTTTTTATTTCTATAAACACAAAAATAATAGTATTACGATGCAAAGCATTATATAACTATAAATAAAGTATGCTATAGAATTTACTATTTTCTAGGACATATCGAGAAAAGCATGAAGTAAAAATAGACGTCAATGTCCATAGCCTTTCGTTACAAGGACTTGCTAGATCTTTGCGAAGTAAACCCATCTTATGTCAAGCGATGAGTAATTAGAGGAAGCGTTCATGTGAAGAATGAAGATAAGAAATCAATACTATATTTGTAAAAGAATGAAAACGATAAAAAATAACTACTGGAGAAAGTCAGGTTCGCATCTGTAGGGATCATCCATAAAGAATATCGAGGTAAAGGAGGAGGGATTGTGGTTCCTCAAAACTAGAGAATCCTGGACAGAAAGGAGCCTTCACCATTCCTGAACGCTCAGATACTTAACATGAATATTTTATCATACAACTTTCTGTTAAAACCTTCAAGACTAGTATGTTTTCAAAAGCATATTTCAATGGAAAATCAATTAAAGGAACCAATTGAAAATGAATACCATGTTGAAATGATTCAAGATTGTCATTGTTATTGAGCTTCATTTTAGAGTTTCACTTCTTTCTTTACATTAAAATAGAATGCATTTAACAAACAAAAACTTTGCAATAGATTAGTTTTTTTGTTTGTAGCTTATGAAATGTATATTTATTCAATTCTATTTTCGTATATTTCTTTATTGGTTGGTTCCGGATCTGGCCAGTTGTAGACCTGGAGTATTTCTCTGATTCGAGTCGCGGCTCGAGTTCGAAAATTTTGAATCCCAAGGGCTCTAGTCGTCTGAGAAAGATAACGGTTCTTTAGCTGCTGAATACAAAAATCGAGAAAACAACATCTCATTTCTTCGTGGTGATTTTCTAATTCCAATTAGAAAAATTCGTTGAGACTATCACAATACGGTTCTATCGTATTCCCGTCCACCAAATTTCAATTAATTGGGTTCCAGCTAGAAAATTTGTGAATTGACGGGTTACACCCGACGATCGGGAATGGAAACCGGGTCGATGAATCTGGATAAATCTCAACGAGGGAGAGAAGGAGCAGAAGGCAGAAAAATGCGACTCTTACTTCGACATCTCTTATGGATGATTCGGAACGCCAGATAATTTCTTTCCTATGAACACTTGTCAATCCATCGAGTGAACATTTCTGTTCTACCGTATTTTTATTTTTCGAATGTCTTTTGGTTTTCGTTGAGCGTGCTTAACATGTCCTAAATTTTCTTATTAACATTTTTCAATCTATGCATTCTCGTCGCGAGTTATTACGTTCTACTATTGTTTTTCACTTATACCATGAACATTTAAAAAATATTGAAGAATAGCATCGGTGCATGTTTCATTCTTTATTCAAGTCTGTCTGAGATAGAATACAGTTTCATCACGATTGATATGCATTCGAGTGTTTCTGCAGTCATTATTATTTCATATTTACATGCAAAACATTCATGCTTCATAAATTGTTTAACACATGAAGTTCATTATCTATTAATATCGTATGTTTTGCTTTAGCTTCATTGTGTCAACGAGAACTATTTGTGCCATAATTATAATAGATTTCATCTACATTGTTCTTCATTAGCTCTTATTTGAAAAAAGAAAGCAAGAGATTTAAAGCATGAACAAAACATATTATAAGATGAATATTATTCTCCAAGTTAAGAAAACGCTTCTGTGTATTTGATCATAATAGTCAAAATGTTAAGATTATAATGATAAACATGAATACGCATAATAGTTATTATTATTTTCATTCCTAT